CCCTCCCTCCTCTGACCCTTCTCTGAGAAAGGCGAGACGCGAGAGCCCCCAGCCTCGGTGTCCTTCATCTGGCCCCCGGTACCCTGCCCGATCTTGCGTCGCCGCCGCCGCCGCGCTGTCACCGTCACCTGCTGACCACCTCGTGCCCCACACATCTCCCTCTGCCTTGCTCCGCCCTGCCTCCGGTTCGGCCGCCGCCGGTTGTCAGTCTCCGCGCGAGGTTCCACACCCCGGTGACCCCGTGTGATCCCTTCCCCCTTTGAGGGCCCCCCTTTCCCTCACTCCCCCTCCCGCCCCCGCCTGTTCGCCCGATCCCGCGTCCCCCCCCCTCCCCCCTCTCCCCCTCCGTCGGAAATGCTCTCCTCCAACATTTTCCGCGCCGGCCAGCTGGCCTCCGCCGCTCCCATGGAGCACGCCCGCCAGTATGCCCGTGTTCCGTTGTCGGTGTCGATCGCCCAGTTCGCCGAGAAGCGCCTGGCCGAGAAGGAGCGCAAGCTCGCCACTCGCAACACCCTGATCCAGCGCACTCGCGAGAACATCAAGCGTGTGCGTGCCTTCTTCCTCCACCCCCTCTTGCCCCGGTCCCGCCTCTTTCACCCCGGCCTGCTCTCCGTCTTTGCTGTTGCTGCTGTTGCGGCTGCCGCCGTCTCCACCCATTCCTCTGTCCCTCCTTCCTGCCTCCTCCCCGGGATTGCACCCAGGCCGCCGCCCGCTCACGTCTCTTCCTCTCTTTCCCCCCTCCCCCCTCCTCCCCCCTGCCTCCACTTTCCTCCGCCTCTTCGGACCACCAGGACGAGGTTTCCCCCCTGCAGCCCAGTGGCAACCCCAATGTCATGGACCAGTCGTACTCGCTGGAGGCCTCGCGCATGCGGCGCAAGTACCTCGTGGAGATGCACGAGAAGCGCCTGGTCCGCGAGGCCCGGCAGCTGGAGCGTGCCAAGACCTCTCCTGAGGCCCTGGAGCGCAAGGCCCGCCGCCAGGCCGAGGTCAGTGTCCGGGCCTCCAAGCACAAGGCCCTGCTTGCCCAGCAGTACGTCTGCCCTCCCGATGCCCTCCTCCCTCCTCCCCCTGCTGGTCATTCACCCTCCCCTTGTCCCTCCCGATGCCCTCCCCCCTCTCCCCTCCAGGCGCGTGCACACGGCCACTCGCCGGGCCATGCGCCTTGAGCGTGCCCTCGAGGTGGAGCGCTCGCGCGCCGCCGCCAGCACCATGCTCCTGCGCTGGTTCGCCGAGGACTTCAAGCCCATCACCCGCGAGAACATCGACAACGTCCTGGAGCTGGCCTTCAACCACCGGGTGTCCTACAACACCTCGCTGCCGCCGCTCCAGTACCAGGTGGCTTTCGTCAATTCCGTGCTGGCCAGCGGTCTGGACACCTTCGCCTCTACGGCCCTCGGCTATTCGCTGCGCAACCCCGGCACCATTCGGCCTGATCTGCTGGAGTACGGCTACAGCCCGATGAAGCCCCATGCCCGGCACCTGGCCCACAGCGCCACCGGCCTGGAGCGTGTTGCCCAGGTGTTCGATGGTGTCATGCTGCCGACCCTGAATCGGGTGGCTGCCCTGCCGGCTGGCGCCCAGGCGGCCGTGGTGTCTGACATCCTGACCAACATGATGCTGGCCAAGTCGCCGGCCCTCTCATCGGCGGCCATGCTGGAGCCCTTGACCGGGCTGCTGGCCCGGCCGGAGTTCAAGCAGCTGGCTGCCGGCAAGGCCCCGGCCTCGGAGGCCGGTGCGTCTGCCACCGAGCAGTCCCTGGCCCCGGTGGCCGACAGCGTGCTCTTTGACCTGTTCAAGCGTCCGGTGGTCCTGCCGACCGACCCCCTGTCCTACCGCCCTCTGGAGTTCCTGTTCAACTCCAAGTACGCCAAGGTCCTCAACCAGCCGGTGGCTTCCAGCGGCCAGGCCACCAGCGCCGAGCTCCTCCGGGACTTGCTCTTCGCGCATGTGGTTCACTCGGTGGAGGGGCATCCCTTCCTGCACCGGGCCCCGGCGGCCATTTCCGGGCATCTTGCCCGGTCGCTGATCCAGCGCCTGGACCAGTCGCTCGTTGGCCCGGCCCTGGCCGTGCACTCGGGCCAGCCGGCCGCCTCGCTGGTGTCCGCCAATGGGGCTGCTGCCTTCTACCCTCGGTTCCCGGAGGTCTTCCGCCAGGATGGCCCGGCTTCCTTCCTGGTCCAGCTGCCCAGTGGCCCGGCTGATGCCATTGTGGCCGAGCGCGTCCGTGCCCTGACCACCGTCATCACCGCCAAGCGTCCGACCGCCAGCTCCCCGCTGACCGGAGCCGCCGCCGAGCTGACCACCGCCGCCGAGTCCCTGCCCGAGCATTGTGGCATGCTGACCGGCGCGGCGGCGGCCGAGACCGGGGCCGGGCTGGCCCCTCGCGGTTTCCGCACGGTTCCCGGCTCGTTGGCTGCCTTCGATGCGCGCTTCGCCGCCACCTCGCCCCTGGTCACGGCCGGCGAGTCTGACGAGGATGGCCCTCAGTCGGCCTCCGAGCAGTCCTCCTTCACCTGGCTGGCCGGGCTCACGGACCCCGGGCATTATAGCCCCCTCTTCCGGGACCACGATGCGCGTGATGCCCTGGAGCTGACCGCCACCCAGCGCCAGGCTCTGCAGCTGATCATCAGCCCCACCTCGGCCACCGAGACCCCCCAGGGGCAGGTGCTGGACCCGACGGCCGTCACGCCGACCGGTGGCCGGCCCTCGCCGGCCATGCCCGCCTCCCTGGCCAAGCTGGTGGAGGCCTTCCCCCTGACCGGTGCCCTGTACCTGGAGATGGAGTCCCTGCGCCAGGCCGGGGAGCTGGTCCTGCCGGAGCCCAGCCGGCGCCCGGCCTTCGATCCGGACCTGACCTTCCTGCACACGTATGAGGCTCTGTTGGCTTCCTTCGGCGATTTCTCCAACAGCCGGGCGGCCCTGCTGCTGGCCGAGGAATTCCGCCAGTCGGTCAGCGACATGATTGCCTATGTGGCCGGACTTGGCCACCTGGTGGACATCCAGCAGAATGGCTGGGCCGGTGCCGCCGGCCCGGTCAACCGGACCCTCTTCACGGCGCAGCCGCGCCTGGGAACCCCCTTCGCTCCGTTCCTGGCCTTTGACAATGCCTCCCCGCTGGAGATGACTCGCTTCAACCCGGTGACCGATGTGGCGCCTGGCGCCGCGGCCGGCACCCCGGCCTCCGGTCTGCCATCGAGCCTGGCCCTGGGCGAGGGGTGCCCCTTCCCCGGTGCGGAGCTGAACTTCACCGCTCCTCTGTACCTGGAGAACACGGCCCTCTTCACGCACTGGCTCCGGGTGCTGGCGCACCTGGCCGCGCATGCCAAGCCCACGGACACCTTCAGCCTGGCGGAGCTGCTGCCCGGCCTGCCGGAGAACTACCCCCTGGGCGGGGAGCTGAGCTCCTCGGACCGCCACTCCGTGGCCGACCTCTTTGCCGTCAACTTCAACCAGCTGGTGGCGGACATCTTCGCCCAGGGGCTCGCCCCGACCGAGGAGTTCCGTGCCCTGCTGGAGGAGAGCAGCATGCACCCGATGGAGGTGGCCCGGCGCCTGTCTCAGGCCAATGCCCCGACCGATGCGGCCACCATCAGCCCCTTCCGCGACACGGCCGGCCTGCACTCGGTGCTGGACTTCCCCCGGCTGCCGGGGTCGGTGTCGGCTTCGCTCAAGGAGTACGAGGCGGATCCCCATGTCCCGGCCAACCAGCTGAGCAATGCCCGCCTGATGCAGCAGTTCTTCTCGCTGCTGGACCGTCTGGACTACTCGACGGCCGATGACTATGCCGATCCGACCTTCAACGATACGGACCCGCTGCCGCCCCCCATCCAGCGGGATATCGATGATGACATGGACTCCGATGTGTTTGGCCCGATCATTCCGAAGATGCCGAATGGCGAGCCGATGTTCTCGGCGCCGGCTGGCACGGCGCGCCGGCTGCTCACCAGCACCGGCTACGCGCTGGATGTCCTGACCCCGGATTCGGAGTCCCTGCCGGTCATCCCCCCGCCGGATGTCAACCCCCGGAACTTCGTCGATCGGAAGTTCCCTTCGAAGGAGGAGGAGGAGCTCAAGCGCGCCACGGCCTCCCTCTCGGCCAACCCGGCCGGGGAGCTTGACTTCGATCACGAGGCCACTTCCGCCTTCTTCCTGTCCTCCTCGTCGTCCGGCGAGGATTCCTTCGCGTCGGATGGCGCCTCGCATGGCTCGTGGGGTGTCCCGAGCGGGCGTGCCCTCAAGTCGTTCTCCACGCCGGGCGATGCGCCCGCCGGTGCCTCGGGCAGTCGCTACACCGGGCTGGCGCTCTTCGACTCCAGCGAGTCCGAGGCCGACAGCACTTGGGACAGTGTCCACGGTTCCTCCGGCATCAACACGCCGACGGCCTTCGAGTCGCTGATCGGCCGGCCGGCTCCCAAGGCTTCGGGCGCCATGCTGGCCCTGCTGGCCGGGTGCAAGCTCGATGACGTGGAGACCCGCATGCGCCAGCTCAATACCAAGGCTTCGCTTTCGGGCCTGGTGCAGGATCTGATCCGGCAGATGCCGGCCGGCGTTGCAGCCGATCCGGCTGCTCGGTATGCCTCCTTCGGCCCGCTGTCCGGTCTGGCCAGCCTGCAGGGGACCTCCCTGCGTTCGCCGCTGCTGGGCCAGGCCCCGAGCACGGCGGTCCTGATGGCCGGGTCCTATCGCCCGAGTGCGGTGAACTTTGTGCACGACTTCGCCCTGGCCTTTGCCCAGGACACGGCCTCCTGCTCGATCCAGGAGTTCCCGGACTTCGTGCGCAACAAGTTCCTGCAGACCGCGGCCGAGGATGGTGTGGAGGCCACTTCGGCCGACCTGCACCCGGGGCTCATCAACAGCAGCGTCATTTCCCAGGTGGTGCCCTTCCACCACCTGGCCATGCCGAGCTCCCTGCCGGCCGGCGGGGCGTACGCCATGTCGGCCCTGCTGGGGCTCTTCCCGCAGCACTTCGACTTTGTCAAGCGCTTCCGCGACTCGATCGGCGACTCGCAGGCTACCCTGCCGGGGCTGGGCCCGGTGGCCCTGGGTCCCGATGGGCCGCTCCTGGCCACCGGCTCGCTGCCGGAGCAGCTTCGCGCCGCGCTCATGGTCATGACCGAGCATCCGGCCATGGCCTCGGCCGTGGCCATCGATGCCGGGCTCCGGTACAGTGCTCTGCACTTTGTGGCCCACTCCGGTCTCCTGTCGGACCCGCGGGTGTCTCGGCAGATCTCCTCGCTGGTGACCCCGCAGCAGGTGCTGAAGATGGTCCTGCAGCGTGTCGGCGCCGGCAATGTCCTGTCGCTGGATGGCATGCCGCTGACCAGCGTCGAGCAGCTGGAGGCCCTGTCGGCCCGGGTGAATGAGGCTCCCTCCATGGCGGCCCTGCCGGTCAGCCTGGTTGATGCTTTGTATGGGTTCCTGGCGGAGGACATCCTCGATGTGCTGGTGCAGCATCGTCCGTTCCTGCGCGAGGAGGACCACCGGTTCCCGGGCTTTGCCTCGGCCACCGACCGGCGTCTGGCCTACTCCACGGCCGAGATGTTCCAGCTGCACCGGTCCCTTGGCTGCCCGACCGACGAGCAGATGTCCCTCTTCTCGACCGATGCCGGTGTTGAGGCTGCCTCGGCCGGCGCCGCGGCCCCGAGTGTGCTGCACCTGATGCAGTATGCCACCCATGCGACTGGGCTGGATGCCGCGGCCTTCCCTGGTGGGCTGCTGGATCCGGAGCAGCTGACCGTGGCCCTGAACACGGCGAATGGGGTCACCAGCCCCGATGGCGGGCTGGCTGGCTCGGGCGCCTCGGCCGATGGCATTGTCAATGCCCCGGTCACCAAGGAGATCCCGATGCCGGAGTGGCCGGCCACCGGCAGCCCGGCCCTCGAGGCGTCGCCCTTCCTGCAGGACTTCAACCTGGCCCTGAAGACCTCGCCGCACAACTTCGCCAATCTGCGCGCCTCGCTGAGCACCTACTCTCGGACGTCGCGCTTCGCCAAGGCCGCGCATGAGGCCTCGTCCCTGAACAACCTGACCGCCGCGGCGGATCTCTTCCGGTCGCACTTCCCCACCAACGAGACCGCCGCGCAGGAGGACCGCATCCTTGAGCTTGGCTTGCGCCCGACCACCTCGGTGGATCTGATCATGGCTCCCTTCGCCTCGACCAAGATGCTGCAGCGCAGTGAGTTTGATGAGGCCGAGTCGACGCTGTTCTTCCGCATGGAGCGCGAGCGCCAGGGTTACGCCTGTGCCCAGACCCAGCTGGCCGTGCGCCGGCGCTTCATCGAGGAGGTGAGCCGTCGTCCCAGCTCCTCGGACACGTCGCTCCCCCATGCCAGCGATCAGGCTCTCTTCTCCCCGGAGGCGGAGGCCTTCTACTCTGCGCCGGCGGTCAGCGCCCTGTCGCCGGAGGCTCGCATGCTGAACCCCCGGGACCAGAACATCCTGCGTGCTTTGGCCAGCCTCGGGTCGGCCCATGCCTGGTCTGTGAGCAACCAGGAGACGGCCTCCGTGTCGGCGGACTACCTGCGCCGGAGCAGCTTCTCCACCCTGTCGGCCGAGCACGAGCACATCCTCCAGCAGCAGGTGCCGGAGCTCATGGACCTCCTGGAGTCCAGCAACACCGTGGATTACATCCGCGAGGCGGTCACCGGCGAGGTCGACATCAACCCGCTGCCCTTCAATGCCATGGACAGCTCGCATGTGCCGATGGTCGAGAGCCCGGATCATGCGGTGCTCAACCGCTTCCAGTTTGCCGAGTCGACCGACGAGTCGGGCGGCGATCTGGACTACAACCGGGTCTTCCGGACCGAGGGTTACTTCTGAGAGAGGAGACGGAAGTGGCACGCGTGAGGGGGGGGGGGGGCGGGAGCGGGAGGCCATGCATCTTGCCAGCCTCCCCTCGTCCCCTCCGCTCTTCCCGGCTGTGACTCCGTTTGGTTTCTCACCTCCCAGCGTGCACCTTATTCTGGCCTCCCTTCTGGCTCTTTTTTTTCCTCCGCCCCTCTTCCCTTTCCTTCCCTTTTTATATTACCCCTTCTTGGAGCCTCGTTTGTGCTTCCCGAAATATACCACATAGACATCCCACTGCCGGCGGCGCGGCACGCGCTGCGTCTATTATATTCTGGTGCTTGGGTGCGGCGTGGAGGCGTTGCATGTGGGGCCCTGTCTGGGGGCACGGGGGGGGGGGGGGGGGGGAGAGAGAGAGGGTGGGCATTGTACTGGGGGCTGGG